TACAGGAATCAAATCAACTACATCTGTGGAAAGAGGTGATAGAAAAACTCAATATTATCAGTCAGAACAAGGATGGGAACAGAACAACTGTGGAACAAACCATCAATTGCTCATATGCAAGTTCAAGTTGAAGTTAAAGAAAATTAGAACAAATCCACGAGAGCCAAAGTATGACCTTGAGTATATCTAAAGACCATCTCAAGAATAGATTTGACACATTGAACACTAATGATCGAAGACCAGACGAGTTGTGGGATGACATCAAGGACATCATACATGAAGAAAGCGCGAGGGAATTAAAAAGACAGGAAAGAAAGAAAAACCAAATGAATGTCAGAAGAGACTCTGAAAGTTGCTCTTGAACGTAGAGTAGCTACAGCGAAAGGAAGAAATGATGAAGTAAAAGAGCTGAACAGAAGATTTCAAATGTCAACTTGAGAAGACAAAGTATTGTAATGACATGTGCAAAGACCTGGAGATAGAAAACCAAAAGGGAAGAACATGCTTGACATTTCTCAAGCTCAAAGAACTGAAGAAAAAATTCAAGCCTGGAGTTGAAATATTAAAGGATTCTGTGGGGAAAATACTAAATGGTGCAGGAAGCATCAAAAGAGGATGGAAAGAATACATAGAGTCACTGTACCAAAAAGAATTGGTTGATGTTCAACCATTTCAAGAGGTAGCATGTAATCAAGAACTGATGGTACTGAAGGAAGAGGTCCAAGCTGCACTGAAAGCATTGGTGAAAAACAAGGCTCCAGGAACTGACGGAATACCAATTGAGATGTTTCAGAAATTGGATGCAGCGCTGGAAGTGCTCACTTATCTATGCTAAGAAATTTGGAAGACAGCTACCTCACCAACTGTCTGGATAGATGCATATTTGTACCCATTCCAGAGAAAGGTGATCCAACAGAATGCGGAAATTATTGAACAGTATCATTAATATCACACACAAGTAAAATTTTGCTGAAGAACATTCAAAAGCAGTTGCGGCAGTTCATCGACAGGGAGCTGCTAGAAATTCAAGTGGGATTCAGAAGAGGGCGTGGAACAAGGGATATCATAGCTGATGTCAGATGCAGGGAATACCAGAAAGATGTTTACCTGTATATTATTGACTATGCAAAGGCATTTGACTGTGTGGATCATAACAAATTATGGCTAACATTACAAAGAACGGGTATTTCAGAACACTTGACTGTACTCATGTGTAACCTGTGCATGGACCAAGAGACAGTCAGTCATTGGAACAGAATAAGGGGATGCTGGTGGTATTAAGTCAGGAAAGGTGTGTGTCAGGGTTGTATCCTTCCACCGTACTTATTCAATCTGTATGCTAAGCAAATAATCCAAGAAGCTGGACTATATGAAGAAGAACGTGGCATCAGGATTGGAGGAAGACTTATGAACAACCTGCAATATGCAAATGACACAACCTTGCTTGCTAAAAGTGAAGAGCACTTGAAGCACTTAATGATAAAGATCAAAGATCACAGCCTTCAATATGGATTACACCTCAACATAATGAAAACAAAATTGCTCACAACTAGACCAATAAGCAACATCATGATAAACAGAGAAAATATTGAAGTTGTAAAGGATTTCATTTTATTTGGATCCACAACCAATGCCCGTGGAAGCAGCATCAAGGATTCAAACGACACATTGCATTTTGCAAATCTGCTGCAAGATATCACTTTAAAGTATTAAAAAGCAAAGATGTCACTTTAAGGACTAAGGTGCGCCTGACTCAAGCCGTGGTGTTTTCAATTGCATCGTATGCTTGTGAAAGCTGGACAATGAATAAGGAAGACTGAAGAAGAACTGATGCCTTTAAATTGTGGTGTTGGTGAAGAATATTGAACGTACCATGAACTGCCGTAAGAATAAACAAATCTGCCTTGGAAGAAATATAGCCAGAATGTTCATTATGAATGAGGATGGCGAGATTTCACCTCATGTTCTTTGGACATGTTATCAGAAGGGACCAGTCCCTGGAGAAGGATATCATGCTTGGTAGAGTAGAGGGTCTGCAAAAAAGAGGAAACCCTCAACGAGATGAATTAACACGGTGGCTGCAACAATGGGCTCAAGCATAACGATTGTGCGGATGGTGCAGGACCGGGCAGTGTTTCGTTCTGTTGTACATAGGGTCGCTATGAGTGGGAACTGACTCGTCAGCACCTAACAAGAATTGAGTTCTTACTTTCAGATAGAAGTATCTCCTGCTTTTTGAAAGTTCACTTTATGCAACTTCACTTTTTACAAAAGACCTACATTAGTACCTGTTTTTGCTAACCGAGAGAAATCCATAGAGGATTTTCATTTTTACTAGCAGAACTAGCTTTCAAGATTTCTTTTGCAATGAGCCATTAAAGAGGCAGCATGTACCCCAAGCAATGAGAGTGGAGTTGCCAAGCTCCTTCCCCAGGAACTTCAATCAGCATCTCATCATCAAGCCACATATGTTTGAACTGTGTCTGTGAACATTATATGTCAGTGTTATTTTAGTTTTATGGTCTTTTGGTAGGTTATTTTTTGTATCTTGGAATGTGCAAAATTTTTTTTCCATATAACTTCATGGTAATTGCTTCTTTACTTTATGCCATTTTGGCTTATGAAAGATTTCATAGGAATGTTCTACTTTTAGATATTGGGGATAACCTGTATTTTATTTTTCAGTTCTAGAATGTCTATTTAATTATTTTTTTTATAGATTTCACCCTACAGGACAGAGTAGAACTGCCCCATAGGATTTTCAAGGAGTGGCTGGTGGATTTGAACTGTTGACCTTTTGGTTAGCAGCTGAGCTCTTAACCACTGCACTACCAGAACTACATATCACCTATGGGTCGTTGTTACTATCTGTGGGTCTTTGTTATTGTCTGTTTTTCTTCTCTTGATTTTTGATCATGCCTCTGTGTTTTAGCATGCTACATAATCTTTAATAGAATGTCAGATAGTGTATAAAAATATTGCAGAGAATTTAAATGGTGTTGTTTTCCTCTGGAGAGGCTTCACACTGACAGAGGTGAGAGATGAACTTAATCTAATCACAGATTATACCAATTACAGTTTTGCTAGGACTTCATTTACCTTTGATTTGTCCAATGTCTTAAGTGTACTTCTGTCAACTGTGAGCCTGACATGTTCAGGGCAATTCTGTCTGGCAGGTTCTGAACTGTAATCTTTACTGCCTCGGCATTTCGGGATTTTTTTGGCTTAGATTTCTAGCCTTGCTGTGCCTTCACCCCCTTTGCACATATCTTAAGGGGAAACAGGCCATGTGTTTTGAGGCTCCTCAAATCTGCAATTTTGTCCTTTTGGCCCAACAAAACCACAATAAGTTGGTTTTTCAGTTTCTTAGCCTTTTGCCAGGCCTAAACCCAGAATCATAGCCTGCGTTGCTGTTACCAACAAATGCCCCAGGGAAAAAGCAGCTGCAGATTGATAGCTCACCTCTCAGAAGTTCTGCCCTCTCCAGAATTTTAGCCCTCTGATCTATGATTACAGCCTTGGAAACCCTGTAGGGTAGTTCTTCTGTGTCCTGTAGGGTTGCTATGAGTCAGTATCGACTTGATGGCAATGGATTAGTTGATTTTTGGGTCTGTGATGCTTCCACAATTCTAAACTTCTAAATACAGACTTTTATTTGATTTTTTTTTTTTTAACTTACCTTAGGTAGAAATGAGGTCTTCTGCAAACTACTCATTTCCTCTAAAGCCAAAGTCTTCCAGTGAGTTATTCATTTCCTGGACTTGGTACTTCCTGTGCTCTAAACAGTAAAAAATTACAAAATGTTTTAGAAATTCTGTTATAATTTATATTACCACCTACATGACAATAATAAAATTATTATAAAAGCAATTATTTTTCAACAGCAATAAATTTGTATAACAACCCTGTGAAATAGTAATGGCTCAGATGCTCTATACTTGAAGACTTTCACATTTTTACAAGATGTTGACTGTGATTGCTTGTTCTGTTTTCACAGTGACAGCATTTACCTATTTTCTTTTGAGTGGCTAATTAGGAATTATATCATGAGGAAAAGAGGGGAAAAATGTCAGCTTCAGCATTTGGGGTAGAGAGGCTGATAGTTTCAAAGATACAGTATATGAGTGATGGGTTTTTAGGAGATTAATGTTACCAAAAATATAAACAAATATGGAGAGAGATCAAACTATTTTCTACCATGTATCACATTCTGAAATATGAAACATGAATATCAAATTCTGAAATAAAAACAGTGAGGTATATTAAAACAGGAAAATAAATCCTCATCCTTTTTCTATACACAAAAAATGTTGCTGCTGGTTATACACTTTAAGTTACTAGAAATGGCTAAATTATATGATAAAGCAAAAAGAGTATAATATTGTAAGGATTAATTGCTAATTAAATTTTTAGATTACCAGTCTCCTTTAGCTAATTAATTTACATCTTCAATGCATATAAGATATTTTGATATTTAAGAGAGTATTTATTATTTTTCTTTGAAAGTTTGTTAATCCAGGATTGTCATATGATCAAGTTAAATTATTATTATATTTTTATTTCATGTGTTAATAATCAGTTATTAACAAATAATACTATATAATTGGCCAAGTACCTTGTACTCATATATTATTGAGATCACTGCCTGCTGGTTATAAAACAGAACAAGAATTGATGTCTGAATTTAACATTAGAATATAGCTAATAATTCACGCTTAATGTGTTTAAATAATGTATTTAGATCCATCTCATTTACCTAGAGGTTCATAGAATTAACTATTTTTCTGTTTTAATGTCTCATTGACTTAAAGGTTTTTACTTCCATATCTTATTTTAAAAAATTAACCTTTTAAAGAATATATATTTACCACTATTTAATGATGGAACAATATTGCTGAGCTTTGCTGAAAACTTATTATTTATAGTGCCACTTGTATTGATAAAAATAAGAAATGATACCCTTTTCCTCTTCCTTTTTACATGCTTTTTGTAATTCACAGGTCAGTGGAAGTCCTGAACTACCTAACTTGACTAACCAATATGCTGCTTTCTTGTCAAGAACAGAAAGAACTACTAAACTATTAGATATGGTAAGAAGACTCCTTTATAATCAAACCTATTTGTAATATAAGAATCCTGGAGGAGATTGAATAACATAAACATTTTATTAGGCCTGTAAGTGGTACCCTGGTAGTCTGCTGTGGCATCTTTGGGTATTCTGAATACGTCTATATTTTTAAAGTTCAACAAAATATTTGAAGCTAAGCAGAAGCTCAGTGTTGCTCTGTGAGAGTATTACATGGAACATCCCTGTAGAGTCAGAGAACATTCATTCTAAGGACATACAGGAAACTGAAACGTCTATGATTTGGAAGGTTTACTTTAGATTCAAGCCAGTTTACTCATAAATGTAATTTTTTCCCATTTTTAACTTGAATCCATCTGGAAACCTAAATCCTTAGTGAATTTTTCATTCCTGTTAATCTGTATTTTAAACTGTGTTTAAGTTTTATTTTGATCTTTTACTAAATTTAATCTGAATGAAATAGTCAAGTATTCATTTTTAAATTTCACCTACTATTTTCAATTTATGTGATATTAGTCACTTATTTAGTAAATGGAAATTCTGTTGAAAATATTTATAAATAAATATAAATAAAAAAGTAAAAGATCAAAATAGAATTTACAGTTAAGACATTAGAGTCAATAATGATGGCAGAATGTAGCCTTGTATGCACAAGGTGTTGTTAAAATCAATTTGTGTAGAAATTGGACCACCATTGTAAGATATTATTAAAAATAACAAATTACGAAAACAGGATCATCAACCAGGTTTTAAAATGTAGCCAATCAACCAGAGCGGTAGCATTGCTTGCTAAGTGAGGCAATGCCAAGAATTGATGTGATAATATTCTCAATAGTAAAATAACCAGTACAAGATCAGGATGAGCTAATTTAAGGAAAGGGAAAATGCTAGTTAAATAAATATAACTGTGAATAACTAAGAAATCATGTTGTTGTTGTTAGGTGCCATCGAGTCAGTTCCGACTCATAGCAACCCTGTGTACAATAGAACAAAACACTGCCCAGTCCTGCGCCATCTTACAATGTTAGAGCTCATTATTGCAGCCACTGTCAATACATCTCATCGAGGGTCTTCCTCTTTTTATCTGATCCTCTACATTACCAAGCATGATATCCTTTTCCAGGGATTGGTTCCTGCTGATAACATGTCCAGAGTATGTGAGATGAAATCTTGCCATCCTCTCTTCTAAGGAGCATTCTTCCAAGACAGATTTGTTTATTCTTTTGGCAGTCCATGGTATATTCAATACTCTTCACTAAAACCATAATTCAAAGGTATCAATTCTTCTGTGGTCTTATTCATTGTCCAGCTTTTGCTTGAAAATGAGGAGATCGAAAATACCATGGCCTGGGTCAGGCACACCTTAGTCCTCAAAGTGACATCTTTGCTTTTTTAACACCTTAAAGAGGTCTTTTACAGCAGATTTTCCCAATACAATATGTTGTTTGATTTTTAGACTGCTACTTCCATGGGTGTTGATTGTGGATCCAATTAAAATGAAATCTTTAACAAAGTCAATATTTCCTCTGTTTATCATGATATTGCTTATCGGTCCAATTGTGAGGAGTTTTGTTTTCTTTATGTTGAGGTGTAATCCATACTGAAGGCTGTAGTCTTTGATCTTCATCACTAAGTGCTTCAAGTCCTCTTCACTTTCAGCAAGCAGGGTTGTAACATCTACATGTCACAGGTTGTTAATTTGTCTTCCTCTCATCCTGATGCTACATTCTTCTTCACATAGTCCATTTTCTAGGATTATTTGCTCAGAATACAAATTGAATAAGTATGATGAAAGGATACAACACTGACACACACCTTTCGTGATTTTAAACCACTCAGTATCCCCTTGTTCTGTTTGAATGACTACCTCTTGATCTATGTACAGGTTACACATGAGCACAGTTAAGTGTTCTGGAATTCCCGTTTGTCATGGTTTGAATTATGTCCCCCTCCGCCAATGTATCAATTTGGCTGGGCCATGATTCCTAGAATTGTGTGGTTGTCCTCCAGTTTGTGATTGTAATTTTATGTTAAAGAGGATTACAGTGGGATTATAACACCACCCTCACCCAGGTGACATCCCTGATCCAATGTAAAGGGAGTTTTCCTGGGGTGTGGCCTGCACGACCTTTTATCTCTCAAGAGATAAAAGGAAAGAGAAGCACGCAGAGAGTTGGGGACCTCATACCGCCAAGAAAGAAGCACCGGGAGCGGAGCGCATCCTTCGGACCTTAGGTTCCTGCGCAGAGAAGCTCCTAGTTCAGGGAAAGACTGATGATGACGAGGACCTTCCTCCAGAGCCGACAGAGAGAGAAAGCCTTCCCCTGGAGCTGACGCCCTGAATTTGGACTTCTAGCCTACTAGACTGTGAGAAAATAAATTTCTCTTTGTGAAAGCCATCCATTTGTGGTATTTCTGTTAGAGCAGCACTAGATGACTAAGACACCATTCTTTGCAGTGTTATCTATAACTTGTTATGATCCACACAGTCAAATGCCTTTGCATAGTCAATAAAACACAAGTAAACATCTTTCCGGTAGTCTCTGCTTTCAGCCAGAATCCATCTGACATCAACAATGACATCCCTTGTTCCACGTCATCTTCTAAATCTGGCTTGAATTTCTGGAAGTTCCCTGTCAATGTACTGCTGCAACCATTTTTGAATGATCTTCAGCAAATTTTACTTGTATGTGATATTAATGATACTGTTTGATAATTTCTACATTCTATTGGATCACCTTTCTTTGAAATGGGCACATGCATGGATCTTTTACAGTTGATTGACCAGATAACTGTCTTCCAAATTTCTTGGCATAGATGAGTGGGTGCTTCCAGTGTTGTATCTGTTTGTTGAAACATCTCAATGATATTCTGTCAATTCAAGGAGGCTTGTTTTTCGCCAATGCCTTCAGTGCAACTTGAAATTTTTCCTTCATTACCACTCGTTCTTGATCAGATGCTACCACCTGAAATGGTTGAACGTTGACCAATTCTTTTTGGTACAGTTACTCTGTGTATTCCTTCCATCTTCTTTTGCATTGTGCAATATGTTGCCCATAGAATTCTTCAATATTATAACTCAAGGCTTGAATTTTTTTCTTCAGTTCTTTTAGCTTAAGAAACACCAAACTTGTTCTTCCCTTTTGCTTTCCGAATTCTAGGTCTTTGCACATTTCATTATAATACTTTACTTTGTCTTCTTTAGCCACCCTTTGAAATATTCTGTGCAGCTCTTTCACTTCATCATTTCTTCCTTTCACTGAGCATCAGAGATGTATCTAAGGTATAGCAGGTATGGCACGTGTCCTAGGCGCCACTTGAAGGGGGTCTGTGTGCCACTGAGCGGTTTCATTAACCACTGAGTTCCATCCCCACATGTGAGAGATCAAGTTAAAATTAGTACTTTTCTTTTGAGAGCCTCCGTGGGTCAAGGCAGACTGTGTGATCCTGCTCTGCTGAGTGTAGAAAGAGAAGAAACTGAAAAAAATGGCTTTGAGCACATCATAGATCAGTTTTCATCAGTGAAAGCAAGGAAGGTAAAACTAATTTTCATGTAGTTCCACAATGTGTTAAGTAAAATGAGCTTGACTTGTATTTTTTAGCTGATGTTATGGTAAAGTTATCTAAAAGATGGGTGCTAGATATTTGGACAGGGTGCAATTTCAGTGCTTGCTATAGGCACCATTTTCCGTAAATACTCCTCTACCTTCAAGAGCAAGTTTCAGAGTCTCTTCTGACATCCATTTTGGTCTTTTCTTTCTTTCCTGTCTTTTTAATGAACTATTGCTTTCTTTATGTATGTATCTTTGATGTTATCTCATGACTCCTCTGGTCTTAGGTCATTAGTGTTCAATGTGTCAAATCTGTTCTTGAGATGGTCTCTAAATTCAAGTAGGATATACTCAAGGTTGTACTTTGGCTCTTGTGGACTTGTTCTAATTTTTTTCAGCTTCAACTTGAACTCGCATGTAAACAATTATTGGTTTGTTCTGCAGCTGGCCCCTGTCCTTGTTCTGACTGATGATATTGGGCTTTTTCCATCATCTCTTTCCACAGATGTAGTCTATTTGATTTCTGTGTATTTAATCTGGTGAGGTTCACATGTATAGTTGTCGTTCATGTTGTTGAACAAAGGTATTTGCGATGAAGGAGTAGTTGGTCTTGCAAAATTCTATCATGTGATCTCCTGTATTGTTTCTATATCAAGGCCATATTTTCCAACTACTGAGCCTTCATTGTTTCCAGCTTTTGCATTCCAATAACCAGTAATTATCAATGCATCTTAATTTCATATTTGATCAATTTCAGATTGCAGAAGTTGGCAAAAATCTTCAATTTCTTCATCTTCGGCATTAGTAGTTGGTGTGTAAATTTGAATAATAGTTGAATTAACTGGTCTTCCTGTAGGCGTATGGATATTATCCTATCACTGACAGTGTTGTACTTCAGGGTAGATCTTGAAATGTTCTTTTTGATAATAGTTGTGATGGCATTCCTCTTCAATTTTTCATTCCTGGCATAGTAATCCCTGTGACTGTCCAATTCAGAATGGCCAGTACCAGTCCATTCAGCTCACTAATGCCTGGAATATTGATCTTCAAGCATTCCATCTCATTTTTGACAACCTCCAGTTTTCCTAGATTCATACTTTGTACATTCCATGTTCCAGTTATTAATGGATGTTTGCAGCTGTTTCTCCTCATTCTGAGTCATGCCACATCAGCAAATGAAGGTCCTGGAAAGTTTACACCATCCACGTCATTAAGGTCGATGCTACTTTGACAAGGCAGCTCTCCTCCAGTTGTATTTTGAGTGCCTTCCAACCTGAGGGGCTCATCTTCTGGCACTGTATCAGCCAGTGTTCCTCTGTTATTCATAAGATTTTCAGTGGCCAATTTTTAAAAAAAAATTATTTAATTTTTTCCCATACAAAAATGTATACATACATTGTTATGTGACCCTAATTGCTCTCCCCATACTGTGACAGCACACTCTTCCTTTCCA